AGACCGATATGTACATCTGATTAAATTTAAGAAAAGACAACACCTCGCCCAAATTCGAAAAACAAATGGCATAAAACATCACCAAATGGAATAATATTTGAGTTTTAAGTTCGAAAATCTTATACACCTGAAGATGGTTTTATAAAAACTGAAACATGTTGTGTAAAGGATGTTCCAAAGTGTAAATCGATCAATCGATATGGAACGTCAATAATATTTTATTATCTTAATTATAAGAAATTTTAAATATTGTGATAAGACGGATGAAAATAAATAATTGATAAATAACTTGATAAATAAAACTTAAACAAATAAAACTGAAGCAAATAAAGGCAAACAGAAGAAATAACTTTGGAAGACAGAGAGAGAGAAAACACACACACAAACTTCTCATAAATTAACAAAATAATCAAAAACATACTTAAATTTTTAAAATTCATGTGAGCAGATAACATCCCTAAAGGACGGGTAAAATATACTAAATAATGTGGGTGAATGAGGGACTGTACCTGCATGCCAGGAAGCACAAACAGGACTGATTAAGACCATGCATGCGTCCTGTACTCAAGTGAGTCACTCGATGATATGTGAATCCGCCATGTACAGCTCCTGTACAGTGTACAGTGTACACTGACCACTACAGGCGGTTTCATATTGGCGCTGTATAGACGTCGCTAAATATATTTCTTATGATTATTATACTTCTAAATGATATAACAGGTTGAAGACTTTATTATAATACCCAAGAATATGTCGTACGTGTATAGTAAAATTACGAATATGAAATTAAACACAAAAATGACTCAAAAATACATTTACATATGATTAGCCTATTCATCACTATTTCTCGCGGAACCCAAGGGTTCCGGGGAACCCCGGTTGAGAAATGCTGCATTAGATTGAAGATACAAGAGGCACTTTATTTGAATGAGGATTTCATCATCTGCCATCTTTTTTCACTTCTTCATTGACACAATCCAGCTGTTGGTGGTAGAGACTAATAAATACTATAACTAGTATTTAGACACACTTGATAATGACAGATAATCTAGACTTCTTGATATGACTGTACAGGAGATGTATAAATATTTGGCACTTACCATACGAATGGGGCATAATAAGTAGGATGGACTGATAGATTACTGGTCCACTTTTGAACAGCTCTATATGCTGTTTTACAGTAAAATGATGAAACAGATTACTACAATTTTGCATCAACCAGACAAGGCTGTCAAGAACTATGGAACTATGGATTTCATGGTCTTGATCAACTTCCAGTCTCATTATTACTATAGCCTACTACCATATTGTTTTCATCAAGCTCACTTTCACTATCAGATGAGATTGCTTCTTCAGAATCAGAATCAAAAATTAGCTCCTCTTCAATTTCTGTTCTGTTCCTCAAAATTTGTACCATTATGACAAGAAGAAAATTATATTTTGTTGAGAGATGTAGTTTTACACTAGTTCTCACTAGCATATCAAGAATACATATGTCATTCTGGGTCTACCAACCTTAGAATTCATCTCATTACAACTGGCAAAGTACAAATGCATGTTGTAGGAAAGATTTTGTATTCAGTATTTCTAATAGTAATCTGGTCTACTAATATGTTCTCTCCAAACTCACACACTATCTCATCTGCTGCTGACAAACTACAATACTTATTTTGGCATATTTTTAGCATTCCTTGAGGCTTACATTCAGAAGTTGCTTACAAAACCTTGAATACATGATAATGTCATGACCATGTGACTGAAAATTGACAAATTCTTGGTAAAAAATATATATATAAAATAGCTGTCCCAATATACGCTGTGTAGGCACTTGGGGGGAGAGGAGATATAGCTCCTACTCATTCTTAACCTCGGCACTAGGTGGAGGTGAGTGGTTAGCGTCAAGCCCCAGCCATGCTTTCCCCCTGGGAAAGGACCCCAGTACCCATTGAATAGGAGGCTGGGTGGGCCCCAGAACTGGTCTGGACACAGAGGCTACAGGAAAAATCCTCTGCCCCCATCGGGGATCAAACCCTGAATGTCCAGTCCATAGCTAGTCACTATACTGACTGAGCTATGCCGTCTCATATATATATATATTTGGTATTCAGCAAATATTAAGCCAGACTTTGTGGTCAGGTGGTTAGCATTCCATATTTGTAACTGAGAAGTCCCAGGTTTGAATTTTTATCTAGGAACTGGCTATCCCAACCCATACTATTTCTTGATTTTCTTTATTTTTACCAGATCATGACTAATTGTTTTTTGGTCTTTCAAATCCATAATTTACTATCTTCTTACCATATGATGATACATAATTTACACAGTTAAAATGAATTCTTAAATAACCCAACAATCATGCAAGGCAGATATGAAAAGAATTGACATATGATTCATAAGTATTATATTCTTACTTCTAGACCACCAAGTGTTCTTATTCTTTGATGTGAAATGATTTAAATTTTTGACCAGGATATGTGATGATATCATCAGAGCTGGAAGAAGTGATGACAAGCATCCTGACTGGGAGGATCCCATCCATGTGGATGCAGCAGTCATATCCATCTTTGAAACCACTTGGCAGCTACATTACTGATTTCCTGGCTCGACTTGACTTCCTCCAGGTGTGTTGAAATAAAACTGTGGATTTTCTTCGTGTTTTGCCAACAGAATATCTTTCACTTATCTAAAATTAAAGGTTTTATCTATATGTTGGATTGTGATTAATTAATGAGCTGATCTTAAATTCTTTTCAGTAGAAAATTGATTGATGTTATGTTCTAACGTAAAGTTGATTTGTGTCAGGATTTACCTGCAAAAATTGTCCATTTATGTTGAATTAAGACTTTCATTAAAATGTTGGACTGAGATTAATTCATTAGCTGATTATTTAATATCCATTAAATGACAAATGGATTGATACTACTGGCTGCACTTTATACCCAGGGATAGCACCTCTGGTACCCATTGTAGGCCCTAGAACTGGTCTGGATGCAGAGGTTAGAAGAAAATCTGTTTGTCCATGTTGGGGATTGAAGTCTGGTTGTCCATTCCATAGTCAGGCAATATACTGTCTCCAGGTTAATTTCGGAGATAGGGACTAGCTCTCTTGATTGGACCCAACAGAGTAGGTTTTACCTGAAGACGGAGATAGACTCCAATCTCCAGAACATCATGTTTTATTAGCTTTATTTAGTCTTGAACAGTCCAAAAAACAGTTTGCTTCTACTCCAGCTTATTTAATTATGCAAAAAATATGTATATATTAATTTAGTTTAATAAAATTAAGTAATGGAATAGATTTAGAAAGCAGAGAGAGAGAGAGTGAGAGAGAGTGTGCATGTTGATGGTGACAGCTGGTGGGAGGTGGGAAGAATGTTAGGGGAGGTAGCTGTTAGGTAGACTGTTGGGAAACATTTTTGTCTGTTCTTTCATTAACTAAGGTACAGCTCATCTGAACTGAGATTAAAACTGGGTACAACAAGTAATACAAGTTAAAGTATCATGAATACACCAACCTGATCAATAGAATGAAGGGTAATGAGTGAGGTCTTAACTTGTTTACATATTAAAGAATTACTCTATATTTAGTGAACATAAATATGTGTAAAAATTTATAGAGATGTTTGTGCTTACTTCTTACAGAAATGGTTTGTAGATGGGCCCCCACCAACATTTTGGCTGCCTGGGTTTTTCTTCACACAAGCCTTCCTCACAGCAGCACAGATTAATTCAGCTCGGAAATATAAAATCCCAATTGATATGCTTGCATTTGATTTTGAGGTGAGAATAATTTTAATTGTTGTGTAACTCTTTTCTGAGAATCACTTTAGTACTTTCAATGAAGCTAGTCATTATGGAAACTACTATTCCTGAGTTCCCTTCATCTTGTTTTGAAGAATTCATGAATTTTAAGATAATGATGTTCCTACTTGGCAAATGACCTGGATAATTAGTAGCCAAAAGAAATGTTGGTCTGTTGATAAATTATTTGTATTTGAAGTCTGTAAGAATTCATTTATCAGAACTCTTTTTATATGTTCTCCATGCAGAAAGCATAAAATTCATAACTGGAACGCTGGTTCTGACCATGTTTCATCTCTGAAATTACGTAGAAAGTTTCAGTTGAATTTGATACTGAAATTGTCACTGAAAGTTTTCAGGTAAATTTAGTTTTGATGTATTCCGTTCAATTATTCCTGCATATTACTTGAAGTTAAAACTGACCTTTGTGAGTTTTTTTAAATTATGTATTATATAGAAAATTAAGAACTAAGTACATGAAGTAGAGTCCTTGAGAAGCTGATAGTCACTCATGTAGTCAGGAAATTATCAGCCGTTTATGAAACATGGATGTTCATTATCATGTTTACAAGAACCTGCTACTGGACTCTATTGTGTGTCAGTTGAATCTAGTCCATATCCTCACAACCTGTTTCTTTAATATAATCCTTCCATTTTTGCCTAGGTGTCTTCCATGCTTCATTTCCTGTGAATTTAATTTTCCCTTTATTAATCAGTATCATATTTTGTGATGAGTACAAATGACTTTATACTGATTTATGTTGGATTTTGAAGATTTTCATTATGCAATTTCTGCAGCCTTTTGTTATTCATCTCTCAAAGAACCAAATATACTCTTTGGTGCCTTGTTATACTGTTCCCTTGTTAATGTGACAGACCAAGTTTTACACACATATAAAACAACAGCAGAATTGTAGTTTTGTACTGTAATTGTTATGCTTTTGGATAGGAGATGGGAATGCAAAAGGTCCTGAACTGAATTGTAGTAAGCATTATATATATACTCTGTATATATGTATATTGTGTGTGTGTGCATGTGTGTATAGTCACTATAAGTCTATCAATTTAACGCCATAATTGTCAGTACTTTAAAACAATATACTATAATATCACTACCTCAAGTTACATACCCATATAAAACAACAGGTAAAATTATAATTTTATGTAAATTAGCCACAAGAGACTGATACATAACATGTGCATCCAATTGATCAAAAGATTTTATTTGCTACATTTTCTGATGTGGTACATTATTTAACAAGAAAAGTAAAACAAGTACAAGTAATAACAAAAAAAAGTAGTGTGATTAGCTTTGCACCTGGGGGTTTTTAGTCTTCAACCAGTCAAGTTATATTGATAATAAATGAACATTAGTGGCAATGAGGTATGGAAAATACCAGGCAGGTTACTTGTAAAATATTTATACTTAACTGTAGTAAATCTTTTGGCACTTACTAGAATAATACCGCGCAGCAGCCAAGCACAGCCTATGTGGAGAACTAAAATGTGACCATACTTTGCTTGTCCCATTCGTAGAGATGATTGTCACTTCCTTGACTGGGCAGGTTGTGAGAGTTATAGCCTTGTGCTTGCAGGTGATGAAGGAATGTGACTACAAAACACCTCCAGAAGATGGGGTATACATATATGGTTTATTCCTAGATGGAGCTCGTTGGAATCATGAAGCATTCATTCTTGATGAGTCACTGCCCAGAGTGTTATTTAGTTCTGCACCTGTTGTGAGTATCCTACTCTTGAATGTTCTCTAGTAGATCAGGTGTAACTTAACTCAGTGAACGTTGTAAACGTAACTTAAAACATTATGTACTCATCAACATACTTTTGTCATTTTGTTTCAGATATGGCTGAAACCAATGAAGCAGTCAGATATTGTACAGCAACAAACATACATATGTCCTGTGTACAAGACGTCTGAAAGACGAGATGAGCTTTCTGCAATAGGCCATTCAACCAACTTTGTTGTTGCCATATCATTGCCAACAGTGAAGCCGGCTAACCACTGGATTATGCGCGGGGTGGCCATGCTTTGCCAGCTGTCAGAGTAGTAACAATATCTCTAGTCTCTGAGTTTGCTATGAGTTTTGAATTACTTATAATAATATAATTTGTGTTAATTGATGTGTTATATTATTCTGTGCAATGGTTCTGTTTCCTTCTTTATAATTTTTAAGGTTGTTTTTGTCTTTGTTATACACGTAATTTATTATGCTGTCAAATATTCAGAATCTCCTGTTTGCTCTGTATATATATATATATATATAGTTGAAACATATATGTTGGATATTTTTAGAGTTTAGTTGAGTTTAGAACATAAAATAAGCAAACAAACAAACTATTAACACTATAAAAAAGACACTAGTGCCAAACACGTTTCAACCTCAAGAGGTCATCATCAGTGGCAACAGGAAATTAATTCATTTAATCAAAATGGTTTAGAAAACAAATCATGAAGTAGAATATTTTACAAAAGCATATCAAGCAACACTACACTAGCTGTTGGTTTCACAGGAGTTGAACTGTGCACTTAGCTATTGATCCAATGGTCCGGTGGCCATAACTGGTCTGCGGCGAGCCATGGTTGCGTCGTCCATACCTGTGAACTCCAATGAAGCATTGGAGTTCACAGGTAATAGTTTGTTTGTTTGCTTATTTTAAGTTCTGATACACTACACAGTATGCAAAGTTTTAAGATTAGTTGAGTTTAGATATCACAACATTCTGTATCCTGTTCCTTACTGTGGTGTAATAAATCTGACTAAATTTTAGGTTGTATTTGACAAAAATACTCACTCTTTATTTCTCTAGTTTTTGCTGCTGGAGCTGGCATGTTACACTCAGCCACTTAAAAAAAAGACAACTCTTCCAGCAGCCATTATATGGGTAGGGGGAGTATCATAACTGCCTGCTTTTACTAACTCCATGTTTCAGCCCAAGATATATTTTTCATCCCTCTATTTTCCCATGGGTACATCCAAACATGAATTTCATTAAGACAATAAAACACATTCTTCAAGTGAAATATGAAGCAGCAGTGCAGAAGTAGCTACTTGACATGCATTTGAAAGTTAAAATTTATTAAAACTGAAACAATTTGGGATGCATATCATGTGTAATTTGAGAACTGAGTTGAGACACACTGAAACATTGAACAGGCTGCTAATTTTACATACTTGTCCTAGAGTATAATTTTTTCAAATAACCTGTAAGAATTCTTGTAATTTCATGTGCTGCACAGTTAATACAGAGTGTGCTGTGAGTATGTTTTATTAACACAGATCAGTAATTCATTATTTTCATTTGAAACTGCCTAATGCTCTGGTAGTATGACAAAAAATTGTTACTATCCATTCTAAAATGTTCTTTTATTCTACGCCAGGCATAAGCCTCTCAGTCATTAGTCTATTTCTGGCAGCCCAATACAGATTTGAATCGGTGATAAAACCAGTAAAATTTTCCGCAGTATTAATGTCTATGACATCACTAAGACCTGGGCACATAGTGAGGTGGGTTCCAATCATATCCAAAAGTCCACATAGTGGACAAGTGGATGAGTCCAAATCAATATCAGGCTGCAAAAGGTGACAAGTCAGTCGTTTAACTAAAGCAGGGGGCACCATGAGTAGGCGACTAACTTCACTCCCCATTCTAAAATGTAATATTGGCTTCTTTGCAGTGATTTTAGGTATTTAGTACTGTGTTTGGATATTAACCGAAAAGAGTCTTAAATCCTGTCCCAATATGCACAGGAATCTTACCAATACTTTCTTTATACTTAACCCAGTGTGCAGTGAGTTACACAAGATCCTTGTTACCTATAGAATGAGGTGCGATCCATGTGTAGTATGGCTGAATGTAGGATATGTCAGCAGTCAAAATGCACACAATCTTTAGGTTCACATTCCTCTCCTACTTAAATGGTTCAGGAATGTGTGCCCCTATTAAGTTATACCCTGGCATTCGCCTTACAACTAAGGAAAAGCACGGAAAACCTCAGTCAGGGTAGCCCTTCAAGTCTGGAAAATGAACCGCCTCTTTATGTGAACGGACGATGGTAATGGTTAAGTTAGTTGTTACCTACTAAGTCCTTGTAAGTGGCTGTTACCTCAAATTGATACCGGCTGCTACCGCCAGATAGTTCTGTAGTAATATTATCTGCGACGAAAGTGACGTCAACGCCGCTTACGTTGCCAACATAAGATTGTGTTATTTAGTTTGGATGAATGTATAGTCCCTGTAACTACTACTAAGTGGAGCATAGGGCCTCCTTTCGGAGGTTTCATAGTCTTTAATCTAGTTTGGTGTCGGTATTAATCTATGATACAGATGATTGTAAACTGTGTGGATGGCTATAGTTAAATTTGACTGAAAAATATCAATTATTTGTTCAAAATATGAGTGAAATAGAAAAATCTTCATTTCTATTTATCGGTTGATCGATACGAATCATGTACACTGCATGCTGATTACTAGACGTGTACAGTCTCTACGGTAAACTTCATCTGACTGTAATATTGAAAATGAGACAGACGAGCACAACTAGAGATCATTCTGTTTCAATTTAGATTTCAGGTTCTTAAGTTTACTGACGTTTCAAAGGTGCTTGCTGCCTTCATCTTCAGGGCGATCAAAAAAGCCGCACGCGCCCTTATGATGGAGGCAGCTAAAACCAAGCACCTCTGAAATGTCTTCCAGACAACGTGGCACAATCACCCAGAGGACGGCCGCCTGCGTTATGCTTCAGAGTTTGTATGTTGGTATAATTTGTGGTTTGTATAATCTGTGGTGTCAGCTTAGGTGTGAACTTTGCTCTGCCAATGATTTGCGAGTAGTTCTTCCATTTGTTTATTTAAAGATGTTTAGTCAGTTGAAGACGTAACAACTTTTTAGCTTAATACTCGAAGAAAAACATAATTTGTTGCACATTTCTTCCTATTAAATACATGGAGTGGTCTGAAGATTTAGTTCTTAAGTTTATAGAAGCGTATAGGGATCGTCCTGTTCTATGGGATGTTAGACACAAGTTTTTCAAAATTAAAACTAAGAGAAACGATGCGTGGGAGGAGTTAGCCACATTATTTAACACAAACAGGTATGCAGCAAAAAAGAAAATTAATTCGCTTCTTGCTTCGTTTAGGAGGGAGCGCCGTAAATCAATATGTCAAACATCTGTGACTGGTACAAATGAAGTGTGTCAGTCCAAATGGTTTGCCTTCAAGAGCCTGCTGTTTCTGATTGACAGGAATAAACCAAGACAGACGCAGTGCACTGATGAGGTGAGGTCACAACAGATGTATCAGAATTAACATTGTAAATGTTCCTCTTATATTGAATTATTATGTTTTGAAGAAACTTGTTCTCACTCAGTAGTCCATGTTAAGTGGGGTCTTGTTGCCTGCTGGAAAGACAAATAGTCATACTGATCACCTTTTGGTAGGTAGAAGACAACAAGCATATTTGATGTCTAGTCTTTTAGAGGTGCCAGCTTGACTATTGTTTCCTTGTGGATTGGAAACTTCGGGTGAGGCTACCAGTAAGTAAACATACTTCAAGAGTTTTATATGCAGTAGTTAAGGAACAGCATCAGGTCAAAGTATCATACAGATTTTCAACTTTGGAATTCATCCACACATATTTATCATCAAAGTGGCTCACTAAATGAATCTTATGAAACTGAAATATAGTCATGTTCATATTAAGATCATTATTAGATGTCACTAACACTTTATTGAAATGTATGATTACAAATCACTTAATAACTAACTAGATGGCTAACCGAACCAGAAGGTTCGTCACTGAATTAACCAAAGCCCTGCACCGGACCCTGTCCTGGGCCAACAAATTCCAGTCTCCTTCAACTACTATCTCCCATAGATCCTGCCTGAAATTATCCTCCTGTCTACTTCTAGGTCTCCCCAGTGGTCTCAGGCTTCCCAAAAAACACCTGGTGCACACCTCTTGTCCCATCCATGCGCGCTGCTTGCCCCGCCCATCTCATTCTTCTGGACTTATTCACCCTGGCAATACTGGGGGAGGAGTACAAAGTTTGTCATAATGTAATTTTCTCCACACCCCATTATCTTCTCTCCTAGGCCCAAATATCCTCCTCAACACCCTATTCTCAAATACCTGCAATATATATAAAAACAACTGTGTAATTTACTGGACAATTGGCATTACTAGACACCCTTTTCCCCTCGATTAGTCCATTAAATTAAGGGTTGCTGTTGACTGTAGGGCATAAAAACTGCAATTTGTACAGAATTTATACCTTTAATTATTTATGTTAGTAACATTCAGAATGTGTGTATTTATCTTTTGTTTTGAAATATAATTTTGTTTCAGATAGTTGAACAAGATGACTTTGAAGAATCTAGAGCTACAGTGGACATGGAAAATGAGGCATCTTCAACTAATGATGTGGAAAAAGAGTGTGTTGGTCATGCTGAAGAACATACATCAGATCAGCCATATACTCAAGAGAGGCAGTGTAAACGTAAAGAATCCTTGTCACACATGAAAATTGTCCTGCCAAATAAGAAGAAACGAATCGTAGAAGATCCTAGAGTTACGGAAGCATACAGAATATTAAAAGAAGTTTCGAAAAGAAATGAAAAGAGAGATCATTGCATTGTTTATGGTGAACATATTGCTCATAAATTAAGAGGTTATGATAGTCGTACGTGTGCAATTGTTCAGTACCATATCAACAACGTTCTCTTTGAAGCAGACATGGGCAAATATTCCAATGGCAATCTAGATAACCAGCAACCAGTGCATTGGGAATCAGGTTCTTGGAATAATGGCCAATGTGGGTCATCTCTTCCAAATGTCACTTCAGCATCTTCATCACCACAATCTCAGGTTGTGTACACTCCAGAACATTAATCTATCTCCCCTTTATTGTTATATTCTTTGCCATTTGTCAGTGAGTGAAAGAAATGCAAGCCATATATAGGCATATAATACCCTCAAGCATTTACCCAGTAGTAGTAATTGTATTTATCAACAGTTTCAGTATAACTGATTGTGGATACTTTTATTCAAAATTTGTACTTAGTTTATTTTAAATTTTTGGCTTTACTCGCTACTTTTGTACATATTTCAGTATATATTTTGTAAGAACAACAAGAATATAATGTGTTAACATTATTATTGCTGTGATTCAGTGAGACTGTCTCAGTGGAATTTGCTAATGGGCTCAGATGATATATGAGTGGAGGGGGGGATCTGTACCATTGCTATTTTGTCAATTACAAATTCAACTAGACTGGCTTGGATGTGAACCCAGACCACTATGATGAGAAGCCAGTAACTAGTTACGTATAGCATGGCTTTTTTTTTAATTGGCACACTTTGAGCCTAGAGATAATTTAACCTTTTCAGCCTTGTGTCATATCATAAGTGCAGTCCAATTTGACTTGCATCATTATAGCACGCAGCTAAAACTGTTAACCATAGAATTAAACTCCAACTGGAATTTCCCAACCTTTTACTGTACAATAAATATTGAATATCCCTTAACCATATAATGAAGCAGCAGCAGCAGACATTCAAATGTCAGAAAAAAATATTATTAATAGTTTATCATGTATAAAGTAAAGCTTTTGCAGCGACCAAAGTTGATGAGAGACTCGGGCAACAAGCCGCGTCAAGTGGCTGAATGGTTCCACCAACGTTCCCATCGGCAAGCGTGCTACATAGGACCAGTTTCGTTTTGCAGCTGCTCTGAGGATGAGAGCAGAGATGTCTCTTGCAACATTAGTGGAAGAAATGGTTCATTCACCATTCAGCCATCTGATGCAGCTTGCTGCCCAAGAGTCTTTCATCAATTAGTTTTATCAATTTTCTGTATTTAAATATTTATTAACTGGTAAATAGAATTCAAGTTTGTGCAAGATCCCC